GATGGATGGATGGATGGATGGATGGATGGATGGATGGATGGATAGATAGATAGATAGATGGATGGATGGATGGATGGATGGATGGATGGATAGATGGATGGATGGATGGATGGATGGATGGATGGATGGATGGATGGATGGATGGATAGATAGATAGATAGATGGATGGATGGATGGATGGATGGATGGATGGATAGATGGATGGATGGATGGATGGATGGATGGATGGATGGATGGATGGATGGATGGATAGATAGATAGATAGATGGATGGATGGATGGATGGATGGATGGATGGATAGATGGATGGATGGATGGATGGATGGATGGATGGATGGATGGTGACCCAGGCAAAATGAAGCTGTTTTGACCAGTAAATAAACGCATAATAAACGTGATGGGTCAGCGGTGACGCATAATAAATGCGACTTATACACCGAAGCGTCTTGTATCTGTTTTTTCCTCTTCGTGATGCTTTTTTTGACCGATGCGACTTATACACGGGAAAGTATGGTACCTAAATGTCTTCTGATTTAATTCATCAGAGCCACCAGCAGGCTTTTCTTACCCCAGTAAAATCTGGTATCACGTAAACACTTTTATTCAGTAACAGTGTTCAAACTGAATAAAGGTTTTTCTTGTTAGTTCTTAAATACTTCGTACTGTACTGTAAAGAAAGTTTTAACGTTTACATTTTCACAGTTTCCACAGATGGCAGTGATGAGTCTATTGATGGAACTGGAGGTAATTTTTATGTTCATTTACCTGTTTCTCTGTGTTTACCAGCCTGCTCATTTGTTTGTTTGTTTATCTGTTTGTGTTTCAACCCCTGAAGAAACAAAGGTCACTGATTCACCAGGTCGGTTAAAGTTTGAGGTTAAATATGGTTTCAGTTCAGCTAATGGATAAATTATTGTTATTTTCACATTCAAGTTTGGGTAGTAGTTGTTCTGACATTATGGTTTTCATATACTGTGTCAAAATGTCATAGTTTTTATGTTGTGAGCGTGAACAATTTGATGCATAATGCTTTTTCCATCTGTTAGATACCTCAGACGTCAGTAATGAAGACACCTCAAACGGAGACAGCTCTGAATGTGAGACAAAGGCTTTTAATTTTTCGAGTTACATGCGCCGATGAAAAGATTGCTAACAACAGATACACCTTAAAAACACTAAATTACAAAAAAATTAATCAGAGTTTACCTGAACTTGTCTTGCAGCTGATTCAGCTTCTGTGGAAACGACATATAAAGGTTAGTGAAGGTTTGAAGCTAAACGTATTATTTTATGTACAAAATGTGTCAATAATTTTAGTTGACTATTTGTTCATTCTCACAATCATGTATGATGGAGACCTTCTGTCAATATAAGGATCCGCCACTTTTCTTCAATAAGGCCATGATGAAAAAACTGATCAGGGAAGAATTTAATCCAAAATTCACAAAACGTGTGCAAAGAAAACCAGGAATTTTTACCTTCCTGCAGTCAAACACAGCAGTTATTATATACATAAGTTCATAACCTGTCATAACCGACCGCATCATTAAATAATATTAATATTTTCTCTTTTATTGTCTCATTTTATGCCACAGAGGAGAACAACAGCTCTGAAACAGGTAACTTTTCCTCTTGTTTACTCACCTGCTGACGTTTTTATCTGAGATTGTGTTATTATCTTTGTGTATCAACGAAACAACAGTCACCATAAAGAGAAGGTCCTGTTTAGAGATCGGAAAAATCCTTTAAAAAAAATTATTTTTTTCATTCAACCTTTATTTAAACAGATAAATCACATTGTATTTGCCTTTGATGCCAAAATGGTTCAATAATGTTAAATATTTTTTACTAAAAGTTTGATTTTAGACCCTGGAAACAAAATATTTGGATGAGAAAATATATTTTATAACTATAATAAAATTATTGCAGTCAAACATGGTGGTGGTGGTATCATTATGTGGGACAGTTTGACTGAGACAAAACCTGAAGAGCTAGTTAGGATTACTGGACATATAAAATACATTTTCTAGTGTCTAAAGCTGTCAGACTTGGAAATTGTTTTAATTTAACAAAACAAAAAAGTGTTAAACTAAAATCGGCATCAGGGATGTTCTGAAGTCACACATCCAGAACCTGGACCTGAATCCAGGAGCACCTCTCTGTAGAAACTCGGGTTAAGGTTTTGCTCTGACAAGCTCTACAAGATTACAGTAATAGTGAGAATTTTTACGACGCATTCACAATATTATATATGATCCATTTTTCTTCCGTACATTTTTTGGTGAGATTGTCGTTCCGCAGTTTTGAAGCTATTTCATCACATCATATCAAAACGTTCAGCTCTTTAAGGACAATCCTGCGATGACTTTTTATATTGGTGCAAATTTAGCTTTTTGAAATATTTAGCTTTTTCTGTCACTTTTTCCTCATAGAAAATTAATTGAGCTCATTTTACATCCTTTACATCTGTTTACAACCTTTTACTGCTCCTTTCACATTTTGTTCTGGTTCAGTTCTTTCAGCTTCCTTGTGCAATTTTTTTTTTTAATTCATCTAATTTCAGCTGTTTTGTGTTCCTTTCAGGATCTTTCTGCTAACAACAACATTTTTTAGCTTCTTCTAACTTATTTCTGCTCATTTCAGCTTGTTATGCTCCTTTCAGCTTATTTTTGCAAGTTTCAGCTTTTTCTACTATTTCAGTTAGCTGTTTTTATGCTTTTATGCTTAATTTCAGCTTTTTTCAGAAAAATTCTAATTTTTCGTGGTAATTTCTGCTACTTTCAGCCTATTTAATTTCTTTATGCTAATTTTAGTTTGTTATGCTCGTTTCAGCTTTTTCAGTTTCTGCTATTTCAGCTACTTTTTAGCTGTTTCGTGCTTATTTTTGATTTTATCAGCTAACCTTTTTTGAACTAATTTCAGCTCTTTCTGCTTCATTCTGGTAGTTTAAACTTCTGTCTGCCTTTTCAGCTATTTTTGCTAATTTCAGCTTTTTTAATCTAATTTCCAATCATTTTTGTGCTTATTTCTGCTTTTTTAAACTTAATCCAGCAAATACGAGTTCTTTCTGCTTTCTTGTGCTACTTTAGGCTAGTTCTTAATTTCAGCTACATTTCACACGTGTTTTTATTTCCTCGCTGTAACTTTGTGCACGGTTGAATGAGAATTAAATACATACAATATAGTTTTAGAAGGTTTTGGCAAAATCCCTCAAAATGACTACTGGTTAGTTACTGTAAGTTTAAAAACATCTAAAACATCAAAATCAAACCATTTCTCTTCACTGAATGTAAACATATGCAGGTTTAAGTTCCTGTCTGTTTATTTGTTATCCTGTTTGTTGACTTGTTTACTCGTTTGTTTGTGTTTCAGATGACGTCAATTCAGACGATACCAGCAAATCTCAAAGTGAGGGTCAGTCTGACGTTCACCATGCAGTTTTAAAAAAACATTGAATACATTGAGATAATATTTTAAGCATTTTATTGAAATTATCGTGTGTTTGCTTTTTGTTCATGTCTGTTTCAGACAATTCCAGTGAGGATGAATCTCAGGGTGAGTGAAGATCTTGTTTAAGTTATGAGCAAAAATATAGATTACTGAAAGAACAGATTTAAAAAGAACAGACACAGAAAATGACCATTTCATACCGACTCGTTGAGTTTTCCTCGTGTCTTCCTGTTGCGTTAACGCGTCGCTCTCTGATCCTTCAGATTCAGACCAGTCAAGTGAGTATGAGTCTCAAGATCATTAAAGTTTTAATGTTTGTTTTCAGTTAATAAGATATGTTTAAATATCTCGTTGTCGTTTGGCGCTTGTCTGATATTTTGTGTTTTCTTTTTTCTAGACTCTTCTGATGACAGTAGCGACTCAAAGGAAAGCACTGAAGGTCAGAGTAAGTTTTGTTTATTTTACTAATCATGTTTAGTGTTAAAGATATGGATGTTTTACTGAATAAACTCCATCTTAGACGAGCGATAAAACAACTCACAAGATGTACAAGGTGAAAAAAAAAGACAAATTATGACCTCAAGCCTCCACCCTCAGTACCTATAATCCAGTTAGTTCTTATGGTGCGTACATTACACGGGTCTGCTACTATTTCAGGACATAAAGTATATAAATTAAGTTATCTTGCTTTTATAAGTATTAGGTTCTACCCCTACCCCCCTGTTAATTCGCTAACAGCTAATAATGGAACAAATTTTCTATGAGCGGATGAGCGTTTTTGCTAACGTTGGAAACCGTTAGCAGAATTAGCTTCCGCTAAATTAGATTTCACCATTTTTAAGTCCGCTACCAAAATTCACAAGCTTGTTCCTGTCTGGAGTGGGCGTGTCTCGAAGAGTCCGTTAGGCACGCTATTGGTTGACTACATGTACACGTGACAAGACGTGATTGGTCGACGCAGCTTCACCTGGAAGGAGACGAAGACGTGTGATGCAGACTGAGTGACACTCGTCTTTGCGGTTAGCGGTATAGCGTTAGCGAAGCTAAATTTTTTGTTAGCGGAATATGGGTTAGTGAAACTAACTTTTTGGTTAGCTGTGCCCACCACTGTAGGCTCTAATACTCCTAAAAGTCCTGATCAAACATTTAGGTCTGAAACTATTGACAATATTAAAACTATATCAGTGTTTCAGCCCTGCATTAGCTAAAGATGCCAAGAAACAAGCTACATCTGTGACACATTGTCGAGCAACACTAAAACAATAGTTCACATCATATGAAGTGGGGTTATGTGGAAAAGTTATGAACAGACAATATCTTACCTGTTGTACATAGCTCTTTGAACAATCTCAGTTTGGAAAATTGAGTTTAATTTGGATTGAATCGATGAGCTAAATGTTAGCTTAAGTGGGTGGGGTCAAGACCAAAGTGGTTTGAACATTGTTTTAGAAATCACGATTAATTTCACACAACGGGACTATTCTTCTGCAGTACCGTTCAATGACAGCAACAAGAATATCACAGTATTTCGATCAAAACAACAGCGAATTGCAAAAATTGCAGCAATGTATGTTAATAAAAAAATCAACTCCAAAGTAGTTTTTTTTTTTTTTTAAGTTTGGAGTTCATTTTCAAAAATCAAAAATCCTTTTTGTTCTTGACTCCACTTGAACTAGCCTCTAAGTTAAAAGTTTGGTCATGTTTGAAAATTTTTTTCCTCAAAACTGAGGCCATTCAAAGAGCTATGTGCCACAGGTAAGATATTATCTGTTCATAACCTTTTCCACAGAACCCCACTTCAAAAGATTTGAACTATGTCTTTAAAAACAAGTCGTTAATTTGATTACACTGATGACAGCAATGTCTCCTTTGAAGAAACCACTCTGACTTACTGGCCTATGTGTGTTGTTCTATGTACTCATGTTCCCAAAATAGCTAAAAATATAATTTATCCTGCATAAATTAGTGAAAAACACTATTTTTATATTAGATTTTAACAAAGTGAAGAACGCAGGTCACGTTTGGATAGAACGAGCATGCATTAATGTTTTTTGTTGCGTTTCTGGAGTTGTTACAGTCAAATCATTTGCATCAGCTTTGCTTCACTCAGGGGTTGATTTTGGTTCATCAGGAAACTTTAGAGCGGGACCTGTTGTACCATAAATACCAATCTGCTGTTTGTGGTGATGTTCTGTCTGTGTAGGCGTGAGCTTGGACAAAGATGGAACTGGGTCCGACTCTGGTAAATACACTCAGCCTTCACTTACTTTATGTCGCAGTAAAAACACAACTTTACACGTGCTTCAATGGAAACACTGCACACGTCTATGCCTGCTCACGTAATAACAGTAAAACTATTCTTATACAACTTGTTTGTGTTCCCAGGGGCCTCCGACGTGTCTGACGGTAGATTTTTTTCATTCCCTTCTCAGCTGCTTTTTTTTTTCTTTCTTCCATTCTTCCTTTTTTGCATGTCATCGTCTCACCTAAAGCAGCAAAGACAATGGGACTAAAAATAATCTCAGAGCTGTAATTCAATCTACTTACAAATACTTGTGAAAACTGTCTTGTTGATTTTCTTTTTGAATCGACTGAAGCAACAAAAGTTCAAAATTGGATCATCCAGATGAAACTTTTTTCAACCTAACATCCTCGTTTTTTTTGGTCTTTTACTTCCTTGGGCTCTGTTCTTTCAATTTATTACCAAAATCTCAGTAGTAACAATACAAGTGTTTTTATCATAGACTACCTCTAACCTGTTTTGCATTTATTTGGTAATAATCATAAAACTTAGCTCTTCTGAAAAAAGTTCAAGGTGGTAAAAAAAGATCTTGTTCTGTGGTATCAAATAATTTCTGATCGATATCAAATGATCATTTACGAGCTCTTTATTTGAGAAATGTTGTGCCTCCAGTTAAGCCGATGGTTTGTCTTTATAGATGGAAGCGACGAGAAGTCTGATTCTGAAATGAGTGAAAATGGTAAGTTTGTATAAAACTTGTACTGAATATTTAATTTTCAAACATTCTTTTCTGAGTTAAGATCAGAACCTATTATTTTATACCAATGTCTGCTGTAACAAACCTTTAGTTTAGCTCGAACATTATTGTGGACTGCAGACACCTATTATTATCCATCCGACTTGGGTTTCTTAACTTTATTTATTTATATCTTATACACTCTTCCGTGAACTTTAATGTGGCCCAAACCGCAACGTGTACCCCCACAAATTTTATATCAAAACAACCAGCTCGGCATCGTGATGTGTGCTATTACTTTTATTGGCGTTTCAAGTTACCATGGCGACATATTTTGCTAACAAAGATGCCACATTTCTCCATAGGAAATGAATGAGAGAACACTCCTCTCACTGACTGCTGCTGTCAAGTCATGACTTAAGAGTGTAGAGGTCCCTGAAGAAAACAAAAACTCACTGTTTGTTTGAAACGCACAGAAAGTAATCATCAGATAAATGTCTAGAACTGATAAATGTTTGGAGCCATTTTGATTCAAGATGGCTGCCACAGCTACCTCAGCAAACATAAAATTAAATCCAACTCGGTCATTCTTTGAGATATAGAGCTGCAATTTGGTGAGGTTATAGCTGAGAACGTTCCTTATCACATACTGAATCCAAATTAAAAAATCCAAGATGGCCACCTTAGCTAAAAAGGAAAAATTTTGATAACTCTGCCATTTTTAGAGCTGTTCAGTTCAAATGTGGTATAGTGGTGACTGAGAGCAAACCCCAACACATAGTACTGTCAAATCACAATTTTAAATCAGCAGCAGCCTGGCAGTCCCCGTCCAAGTTTCTCCAGGAAGTTTCTAGTTGTTAATATTATTATAGCTGTTTTTGATGTTGGTATTTATAGGTGGTATTATTGTGTGACGTTAATAAACCACAACTCAGTTACAAAAGGGGGCCAAATTAAAAACTTGGTTCAAATGAAGGGTCAGCATCAGTAGAAACATTTAGTCAAGTCAGAAACCTGACATCTTTTCTTGGTTTCAGGATCCTCAACAAGAGTTTAATTGTTCATTTGAACTCCTCTGTCGCCCTTTCTACATCAGAAAAATTCAGTCTTTTTTTAATTTACTTCAGAGTTGGCCAACTGTTATCTGCACTAAATAAAATATGCTCGTTTATGCAAAATTAGAAATGTTGGGGGGGGGCCAGATAAGATGTTATTGTTAACAAGGGTCACATTTAGGCCTCGAGCCTTGAGTTTGACACATTTGCACAGGTGCATCTTCATAAGTTGCATCATCCACCTCTGACAGAAAGAAACTGCGGTGTGTTTTCTATGTTGCTGACAGTTAGTTACAGGATTGTTTGGGGAAAAGTTGGTAAAATAGTTTTGAAGCTGCTCCTTCCAGTGTAACAGTAGACTGGAAGAAACTTCCCTATAGCACAGAGTCATGTTTCATGCAAAGTGTTAACCCTCCTGCTGCCCTTGGTTAAAAATGACTTTGTTTTAAAAATTAAGACCTTGTGGGTCATTTTGACTCAAGGGCAACAGGAGGGTTAAACTGGAGCTAACACTGTTAGCATTGCTAGCTATATTACCAGTCTGTGTCTAATTCCTGAATGGGAATTTAAGTTTTTGCTTCATTGATTTCCAGCAAGATATTCTTCAACCAAATCCAAACCAAACATTATCACTGACTTTTATTAACAATTATTTAGAATTCAACAAGCAATATAAGCACAAATATTACTAATGTTGGGGGTTAAGAGTATCCAAAGGTTTATGCATGTTGCTCTGAGGCCAAGTTAAAAGTTCTGAGATTAGAAACTAAGGACAGCAGAACTGTAAATATAAAAGGGGTTTATTGACATTAACATGTGTGACACTACTGTATATTTTTTAGACTAATTAAGTTACATTTTGGATTTAAGCTTAAAACAGTTAAGTATAATTACTAACAGAACCGTATTTTCAGACTATAAGGCGCATTAAGCGAAACAAGTTCATTTTGACAGATTTTTGAGCGCTGTATACCACATAAAATCAGTTTGAGTTTAGTTCATGTCTGTAGCTGAACAAAATTATGACAATGAATCCAAAACAAGTCAAAATGGTAAGTCTGTACAATCTTATTGCTAAAAGGTAAATTCTCAAGCATTCATCTGGCAAATAATAATATTTTATGTGATGTGTATAATAGTTATAATGTACATTATGCTCTGGTAACCTGATGGTTTGTCTCCGTAGATGACAGTGAAGAGGCTGATGACAAGCCACATGCAAGTGGTAAGTCAGTATAACAAGCATTTCTCTGAAACAGAATCACTTTAGTTCTATGTATTTTTTTAATAATTATTGTAAATTATGTTCTTGTACCATCATAATTTCTCTCTATAGGTGAAAAACATGAAGACTCTGATTCGGAGATGAGCAAAAGTGGTAAATCAGTCTAATCTTACAATGCTAAAAGGTCAATTCTCAAGCACTCGTTTAAAATAAGAATAATTTTTTTAATGTATCTGTAGTGTTTATAATATTTATTATCTGCTGTATGCTCTGGTAAACTGCTGGTTTGTCTCTACAGGGGAAAGTGCAGAGTCTGATGCAAAGCCAAGTGCCAGTGGTAAGCCAGTATAGAATAGCAGTACTGAAAACTAAAATATACTGGTAGTATATATCTTATAGATATTTTAAGATATATAAATAAGATCTTATATCTTATACATATAGATTATGTTTCAGAGAGGTGTTTCTGTTTATATAGAAAACAGCGATATCTCTCTGAAACAGAATCCTAATGTAAATTGTCTCTATGTTCTAACATGATGGATTGTGTTTGTAGGTGAAAGTCAAAAATCTGATAGGGGTAAATCAGCATGACAGTAGTACTGTCTGAAATATAAATGTATTTAAATCTATGTGTTGTATTTGATTTGTATAATGTTTATAATCTTTGTTTCGGTAAACCGATGATTTGTCTCTGTAGATGAGAACAACGATGAGCCTACTTCTAGGATGAGTGAAAACGGGAAATCCAATGATAGTGGTACTGAAAAATAAAACATAAAGAGCTTCTTTGAAACAGATACATATTTTTTGATTTACATGTTTTTAATGTATATAACATTAACTCAAAGGTTTGTGACCTAATGCTTTGTCTCTGCAGATGAAAGCAAAGATGAGTCTATTTCCAAGGTGACTGAAAGCGGTAAGTCAATAATATAAGAGTACTAAAGAAGCTTCTTTGAGACAGAAGCACATTTTAATTCTTATACATAAAAAAAGTTATATTTACTGTATACTTTAAAATGAAATTTGTGACCTGATCATTTGTTTCTATAGATGAAAGCAATGATGACTCTAACTCCAGGAAAACTGAAAGTGGTGAGTCTATAGTTATAATTTATTGTAGTAGTGAGAAAGAAAATATAACAGAACAAAATGCTAACTTGAACTTGGCTAGAGTTTTCTAGGAATTAGGAATTCAGAACTTATATTTCTTTAATAATCGGCGCTATGGCAGAAAAAACGGTCACTGTCATTTTGAAGAACATCTGTGATCTTTATTTTGAAACTCATTTTCGAAAAATTGTCCTATTTTTCATTAAAGTTGTCCTCAGAAATTCAAACACTTAATTCTGGAGATTTTCACTTAATCAACTGCAATTTTAGTCAGACATACAAAACACTGTTGCAGAAAATAACCAGGGTTTTTGGGTCAACTAGAGAAACAATATAAGGAGAAAAAAAACCTACTGAGTCACTTGTTGCTGTAGTGATTCCCGCCATTTCTTTGATGATTCCTGCCATTTCTATGGTTATTCCCGCCATTTCTATATTCCTGCCATTTCTATGGTGATTCTCGCCATTTCTATGGTTATTCCCGCTGATTCTATGGTGATTCCTGCCATTTCTAGATTTCCGCCATTTTAATGGTGATTCCTGCCGTTTCTAGATTCCCATCATTTCTATGGTGATTCCTGTTGTTTCTAAGGAAGTCAAGTGAAAAGGAGGCTCTCAGAATAGCCGTTTTCAATAAACAGATAAAATTACAGATTAAAAATTGAGTTCCTCATAAAATATATGCTGTTAGACTTAAACTTTATGTTGAGGAATTATATCCATATTAGCAGCACGGTGGCGCAACTGGTAGAGCTGCTGCCTCTCAGCGAGCAGGTCCTTGGTTCAAACCCCGGTCCAGGGGCCTTTCTGGGTGGAGTTTGCATGTTCTCTCCGTGCATGCGTGGGTTTTCTCCGGGTGCTCCGGTTTCCTCCCACATACCAAAAACATGCATGTTAGGCTGATTGGTAACTCTAAATTGTCCCTAGGTGTGAGTGAGAGAGTGAATGGTTGTTTGTCTCGTTTGTCTCTATGTGGCCCTGTGATGGACTTGCGACCCGTCCAGGGTGTACCCCACCCCTCGCACAGTGATTGCTGGACATGGGCACCAGCGACCCCCGTGACCCAAAATGGAATAAGCGGGTAAAAGATAATGGATGGATTATATCCATATTGTATAAAGAGCTGATTTTTTTCTTTTGGTCTCATGTTTTTTCCTTGTAGATGAGCCAAGTAAGGAGTCAGACTCTGACATGATAACAGACGGTAAGTCAGTATAATATAAGTTCTGGAAAAAAAATATAAGTCACTTCTCTAAAATAGTGATCTAAAAACTATAAAGTGTATAAAAACAAAACTGCTATAAGTAATAATCACTATTCATTTTTACATCTCAATAATCAAACTTACTTTAACTCTTCTGTTAGCTCCATTGGGAATTTGGAATTTGACGCAAATTTAGTCGAGATTTAAACTCTTAACTGGAAAACTGTGTTGGTTCTGTGAAAATAATTTTTAGTTGTCAATTTAACACTTGTAGAGACAAATGTGTATTTTCATCCACTGATCGTGCGTCATCTGTGCTCGACCTAAAGAAGGAGATTTAGACATTATACTCTGTTTTATTTACTGACTGTGATTGTGAATGATAAATGGTCCCATGTAATCATTCTTACTGTGACCAGTCAGTGAGGAACAGAAATAACTAGTTGTTTTTGATATCCTCAAGGGCGGATTGACATTGATATGATAGAGTTGATATGATATGGTGATGTGTCTCAAGCAGAGTCCTTGACTCAGATACACTCCTTCGTGCCTGCAGTGGAACCTCGAATGGCAGCTCAGACATGGAGGGCGAGGGGCTGAGGGCATGGGCAGGAAGATTATTCTATAAAACTATCTTGTTCGGTCCAGAAAGTAACAGCAGGTCAGGGTTTCACATGGATGAGAACAATGATAACAGTGTCATCTTGTAATTGCATGTTCTGTGCATTGTTGGACTGCTCTCCAAAGCTTTGTAAATAAATCTGATGAACTACACCTTGGTCTGTTCTGGGAATCTCCTTTTTCTCACGACACACTGAAGAAAGTTTTTTTTTTCAAATGCTGTATATTTAGTGAACAAACTTCAATGTGAATAAATTGACCTTTTTGCCGTGTTTAATTTATTTATTTTTCTATACAGATGAACCAAGTCAGGAATCTGAATCCAAAATGAATGAAGATGGTAAGTCAGTATAAAAGTAGTTCTGAAAAATGAAATATAAAAGCAAATTTTAAAAAAAAATCACAACTCAAAAGTACTGTAAAGAACTGCACATAGCCACTAGAATAAAACTGCAATTAGTGATAGTCACTTTTACCGAACACAATTCAATTTACAATCAATTTGTTCAATGAGAATAAAAGCAGTGTTTCTTCATTAATATTTTTAATCTGATGTAGCACAATTGCCTAAACTATAAAGGGACTTCAGTCAAAAACTTAAGCTAAGCAAGAACTTGCTGGGTCAATGGTTGCTGCTGTGATTCCCTCATTTTGGTGTTTCACAAAACTTTTGACAAACATTTTCAAAGTCAATACAACTCTTTCTGAGATCCATAGATGTAGACAACAACAAAAAACCTGAAAACTGAATGGCTGTCAAATACTTAGAAAAACAGCATTGATGCATTTTTAATCTGAGTATATTCTACAGATACAAGTAAAGGTAATGTTAACTTTAAAACGAACTACAAATAAAGCTGTCAAGAAACAAAAAAGGCGGGAATCACTATGGCAACCAATGACCTAGCAGGTTTTTGTTTCTTATGTTTATGTTTCAGCCTCCACCACATTTTTTTCTTTTTAATTTTCTAAGAAAATGCATTTCATACTTTATCTGCACAAAAAATAAACTTAATTCATGCTGAGTTAAAAGTGTTGCTTTTTTTTCATAGAAGTAATATAGGTTTAGTTCAGATTTAAACATTTTCCTTAAAAAGAAACCGTGTTGTTATGTTATTAACACATTTATATTTGGCCTGATGTTTTTCTCTGTAGATGAATCGAGCGATGGCACTTTTTTCAAGTTGATTTATGACAGTAAATTATCTTAAATGATTTAATTCAACTCTGTTTAATTTATTTATACAGTCCCAATTCAGAAAATTTCTCTCAGTGCACTAAACCAAAAAATCTACAAATCCAATTTATATCAAATTACATTTAATGTATTTCAGTCCAAAACAGATCAAAATTCAAATCATAATGTTTTTTTTTATTAAATTGAATAAAAGAGCCTGTGGAGAATAGTGAAACGTGAATACTGTGACATAATAATGGAGAACACATGATGTAACTCTATCAAAAACATATGAATGAAATATAAATTGTTTTTCTTACTACAGTTAATGATTTACAATTGATTTCTTCAAATTTAAGACATATCATTTAATCCGTTGGAAGGGTTTCTAATGAACAAGTTATTTCAGACTTGTGTGATGTGTTACCCTTTTAAATAGTCAATTAGTAAATTTTATAGATGCACCTTCTAAGTGCAAAGCTGTTTTGTACTGTACAGTATTTAGGAGAAAAATAATCCACAAAAAAAATCTCTCTTTTTATCCTCCAAAGTCAGTTATTTGGTTTGTTAAAAAGTCTATGGCTAACTAAAGCTGAGAGAGTTATTAATTGTCTTACTATGTTATCATTTTTATCAAATCATTGACATAAATGGAATAAATATAGTTTAAGTATACTGTACCTCCTTAAGGCTTTGAGTGGTTTTGTATTTGACAAGGACACATTTCTCATGTTGTCTCTCACTAATCAAAAATTAAAATGTGTTAACTTTTATTTTCTATTCACAGAATCTGAAAGCGATGATCACGAGAGTCAGGAATCGAAGGACTCTAAGTCTGATGAAGACAAAGCAGAAGTCAAAGATGACAGCTTAGCTGCTGAGGAAGACAATGGTGCTGTGGAAGATGAAAACAGCCAGAACCAAGAGTCCAAAGAGCATGAATCAAAGGACAGTGAGGAGGTGGATGACAATGAGGAGGAGGAGGAGAAGGAGGAAGAAGATGCGAGTGACAGCAGTGAAGAGGACCAACAGAAGAGCAAGAGTGAGAGCGACGAGGGCGTTGATTTGAGTATGACCGACAGTGATGCGGGGGCCGACAGCGAGGACAGTGACGCGCCAGACTCCAAAGCCTCTGAGGACACCATGTCAAACGACAACACTGAAAATGAAGACACTAAGGAGTCCAAGCCCACAGAAGGTAAACAGTAATATCAAGCAGGGTTATCAGTTTGACCCTGCATGCAGAGTTGAGTTTTCCACCAGAAAAGGGATTGAAATGACTAATTTGTTCATTGTTAGCCACTAAACATCCAGTTTAAAAGAATAATCTATAATCTGGGTTATAAAATCATGAACACTTTGGTTGGGGCTAGTTGACGCTAACAACTTTTTACTTCAGCTAGCTACACCAACTAATACTATCTTTAAAAAGCCCAACAAAGTTCAAGTCATCTGGATGGTTTCTTTTTTTGTTGTTGTTGTTGAGACGTTTCGTCCTTCATCCAAAGGACTTCATCAGTCCGAGGAGCCACAAACAAACTCAGTCCCACAAGCAGAGTGTGTGGGACTGTGAACCACTTTGGCTATGGCTGCTGCAGAGGAGTCGACAGGGGAGAAGGCAGGCCCCTGAAACCAACTTATCACCAGCAAACTGGTTGGTCCACTATGGGACTGAGTTTGTTTGTGGCTCCTCGGACTGATGAAGTCCTTTGGATGAAGGACGAAACGTCTCAACAACCAAAAAAAAAAGTCCTTCAAAGTAAATTGGGGTAAAAGATTATCTGTCAGACGTTACTGCTATAGATGCAAGACTAAATGTTTCAAAGCAAGATACGGTAAAGCTGAAATGCTTTAATAAAAAGAGCAACAGACACTTACAAGTCACTTTTTGTTGCAGAGGCAACCACTGACAGCCAGTCTGCTGAGTCCAACTCCCACACCACATATGGTAATGTTCATTACTCTGTCTCACCACCAAATTTCATTTTTATCTTTAAAAGTCTATTTTACTGATCAGAATTTGACTTATCAAACTTAATTCATGCAGAACAATAAAAAGAAAATGCTACAATGGAACGATTTAAAACTTTTATTTTGAAGGGCTATACAATGGTAAATAAGAATTATCTAAATGTCTGTTTTCTTTTAATAGCCTTGATCATCTGAACTGTGGAAGCACACTGATGCCAGGTATCAACACTCACTGTCATTACTGATTAGGTTAAAAAATATCATAACGGTGGTTTATAGTTCCATTTTAACAGATAAACATAAGCTAGTTTGGGATGCTACAATTGAAACATAAATTAGGTTTGTCATTAAAAATCACCCTGACACAGATTTCAGTGCCATATATTGTAAACAAACAAAACAATATTCAGACTGTAAGTATTTCTGCTGTTTCCAGGACAGAAGCAATCAATGGCCACCACGGTGGATAACAGTTGCCATGACAACAACATGATAAACTGCATCTAAACTCCAGCTTCCAGTTTGTTGGGAGTCTCCAGCCTTTTTTCCCCCCTGATTGCTGTTCCTTTATTAAAGCTGCTTTAGGTTTACTATAAATGATGTCATAAAAAAAAAAAAAAAAAAAAGATGTCTTCCTCCTCTTTTGCTGGCTGCATCTCTTCGATGTGTCAGTTTTAACTTTAACTCACTGTTAGCCTGTTTGTTTGCAGAAACATTAAACTAGCTGCTGAGCTCAGATCTTCTGCTCTTTGTGTCTGATTTCACACACTAACGTGTACATACAGTCCTTCGTTTACTTTAAAAAACATTAATGATTATTTTTTAAAAGAAAATGCGGGATGACCAGACAACGATTGTACGCAAGAAACGGCTAATAAAGTTTGAACTGTCCGAAACTCCCAGAGTCTCTTTCTTTCCAAATGTTTGACATATTTCTGTGAGAAAAATGTAATAGTCTGCTATTTGTTTTTGTTAGAATAAATGTATATTTCATCAAATACGCCTGTGATTATTAAATATAACCAATATAATTCATTTGTAATACAGTACTATATGGCTTTCTTAATATAAGATACTAAAACAAGAAGAAGACTGTGGTAAATTTAGTAGAAAAAGGGCTTTAACATGTTGGAAACCATTAAAATATATATATTAGTAATAAAAATACTCTGCCTTAAAACAGACCCCTTTTAGCTTAATGTTGTAATTTTAGCAAGTCTCTCATGTGAACAAAAGTAAGAATATTTTTGTACAGCTTGCTATGATGAACTTATAATCAAATATAAAGACTTTTGAAAAAGGGTTCTGTGAGGATATGAGCAGGTATTATCTTACCTGTTGTAAATAACCTTATTTTTCCACCTCATTTCTTAAGGCTGGCTGCTCATATCATCACAGTCTCTGTGACCCACATCTTCAATCTCTCCATAAGCCAAAACTCCATTCCAGATGCTTGGAAAACAGCCTTTGTTCTTCCTTTGCTGAAGGGAGGAGACCCCACCTCACTGAACAACTATCGACCTATCTCTAAACTCTGCATTTTAGGCAAGGTTCTAGAAAAACTGATAAACTCTCAAATCCAAAATTACCTGGACTCATTTAACATCTTACCTCACCATCAATCTGGTTTCAGGAAACAACACAGCACAACCACTGCTTCACTGAATCTTAATGACGTTGTTGAAGCACTTGGTGCTAAAGATTATTGTGCTGCACTTTTCTTAGACCTGTCTAAAGCTTTTGACACTGTGGATCATAACATCTTGTGTCATAAACTCTCAGAAATCGGTTTCTCAGAACACACCATTGGTTGGTTCTCTAACTATCTCTCAGACCGGAGGCAATGTGTTCAACATAATGGTACCTCCTCCAGTTATTTAACAGTCAACAATGGTGTACCACAAGTCTCAGTCTTAGGACCCACCCTCTTTACAATCTACATACTTAATGTAGGTAAAAACATCCCTAATGAATCCATACATTTCTATGCTGATGACACAGTTGTTTATTGTTGAGCTAAAACAGTTGATAAGGCTTTCCAGCTTTTGCAATCCACATTCAACAACATCCAGACAGATTTGTTCCGCCTCAAACTTGTCCTAAATGCCGACAAAACCAAAGAGAAGTTTTTTTTTTCAAATAGGAAGTCGGTCCCAGCAGTTCTTCCTCTGATTTTATCCTCAAATGGTGTCCCCGTTGAGTTTGTTGATTCCTATAAATATTTGGGTATCTTGGTCGACTCACATCTCTCTTTTAAGCTCCATGTGGAAAACTTGGTAAAGAAACTGAAAGTTAAACTGGGTTTCTTTTCAGCAATAGATCCTGTTTAACTCTGAATGCTAGGAAATGCCTTGTATCTGTGACTTTCCTTCCCTCCATTGATTACGGTGACATTATTTACATGAACGCTCCTACAAGCACCCTGCAGATGTTGGATGCTGTCTATCATGGTGCACTAAGATTCATAACTGGCTGTGATTATCGTACCATCACTGCACCCTGTATTCACTGGTTAACTGGACATCATTAACTTCACGCAGACACTCTCACTGGTTCATTTTCATCTTTAAATCACTCCTTGGTCTGCTGCCTTCATACATCTCCTCCTACATGCCTCTGCGTGAGTGCAGCTACAGCGTGCGCTCTCAGGACATTATTACCTGCAGTGTTCCCTCAGTGAGAACTGAACTAGGCAAAAGGGCCTTCTCCTACTCCGCTCCTGTTTCCTGGAATATCTTACAAAAAGATTTGACGCTCTCGACCTTGACCTCTCTAAGTGGCTTTAAGAACCTGTTGGACTCCTGGCAGGGACTAATGCAGACATGTTCCTGTTTTTAGTTTTCTACATTCGCCTTAGAATCTAGCTGTTTTTTGTTACTTTTCTTTTTTTAGCCATTCTATTTGTTAAAAAAAATTAATCTGTATGCCTTTTTATAACTGTCTATTGTTGTCGCTGTTGTCCATTGCTGTCATCATTCTTTGTTAAAAGCAGGTCTGTCTTGTAAATGAGTCCTCGAGGCTCAGTGGGATTTACCTGTCTAAATAAAGGTTGAATGAAAAAATAGATCTCTAAACAGCCATAGTTTGGAGGAATAGTTGTTGTTTTTTTGTATCAAATTAATGAGCTTAAAGATAGATTATTGCTGTCTTAAAGCATTTCCATTGTAACATTTTGATGCTAATCCTATTTTTGGAGCCTTACTTTGCTGTCAAATAAAGGTTGCAGTTATTTTGGCAGAAATATTATATTATTTTAAAAATCTGATGGTAATCACATTTGTATGAACTGGTATCCAATTTATTTGAGATGTTTTGGTCTTGGTCTACTCTTGGTCTAGTTCAGACTAGCCGTTAGCTCATTTATCCAGTCAAAATAAAAATAAAAGTTTCAAAGAATGGTTGTTCAAAGAGCTATCTACAACAGGTAAGACACTGTTTCTGCAAAACCCCACTTCACAACATCTGAATAATATTTTTATGGGGCTCATGTGAAATCCATCTACAATAAAATAAAGTTTAATTAAAAATCACTTGTTTACAAAACAGACATCGTCTGGTGTCCACATATGCGTTATTGCACACGACAAATATACTCAAAAAACTAAAACATGTAATACAATAAATTGTTTTTCTTTGTCTGATAAATTTTCTTGAAATAAGTATAACTTTAAAGTAAAAATGTATGAACTAATTTTCAGACCAAACTCTGATAAAAATGTTTATGTTGATAAGCAGCCACAGAAAGCACAGGAGAGCATCGGCAGCATTTCCAGTAAAAACCTGAGTCAAACATGTATCAGAGGTGATCTGAGCCCTGCACCTGGTCCGACCAGATTCCTGAAGTTCAAGTTTTCTAGTTAACTGCTGCTCCTCCACATTTCTCTGCATGAATGGAACGTCTCTTTCAGCTGAGTCTTGCCTTGTTACTATATATACTATAGACTATATATATATATATATATATATATATATATATATATATATATATATATATATATATATATATATATAGGTACTGATTATATATTCAGAGATTCTTTATTGTCATTTGTGCCACATGTGGTGGAACAAAATTATGTACATGGTCCCAATTACATCCAACAATAAAATGTAAAAGAAAAACAGTAATAAGATCTAAGATATGAACTAAGAAAAACATCAACTAAAAATACACTAAGCACTCATATCATAAAAACAATACGTCGAACAGCAGCACGAACATGAGTCTGTGTGAGTAGTTGAGCATGCATGAACACAGCAGCATGAAACAGATCAGCAGCAGCATGATGTGATGTTTCACAGTGATAATCCTGATTAGAGATTCATGAGGCTAACATCTTCAGGGTAGAAGCTGTTCCTCAGTCTAGTGTTTCTACACTTAATGCTCCTCAACCTCCTTCCTGAGGTGAGTGGGGCAAAAAGTGTGTGTGCTGGGTGAGTGGGGTCCTTCATGATGCTTTTGATTTGCTATGATTTGATTTCATGATGCTATTGATTTCACATTTTATATGTACAGGTATTTACAATAATTTTTTTGATTACTTGTAAGTGCAACACCTAGCGAGCAGCTAGCTGTAGAACTTCGATTGTTGGTGGGAAAATCATCACAATCACAAAAATAATTTGGTAAAATTAAAGTGACAGCAGTGGCAATGTCTATAAAATAGTGTTTGAATAGAGAGCCATGAAATTTTAGAGACTAGAGTTGTTTTAAGATGACAACAATTCCCTCTGGTCTTGGCTCTACTAGCTAACTCCAGTGGTTCCCAACCCTCATCCTTGAGGAACACCATCCCACATGTTTTAGTTGTTTCCCTGCTCCAACACACCTGATTCGGTGATTTAATTACTTCATCATGTTCTGTAGAAGCCTGTTAATTACCTATTAATTAAAATCAGGTGTGCTGAAGCAGAGAAACAACTGAAACATGCAGGATGGTGTTCCTCAATGACCAGGGTTGGGAACCCCTGATTACTAACTGTTCTCTTTTCAATAGTTGGAATTTAACTCAATTTCTCCAAAGTGAGGTCGTTCAAAGAGCCATCTTTAAATACATTTTCTGAAATGTTAAAACATTTGGGATGGCACGGTGGATTAGTTGCTTCTCAGCAAGAATGTCGCCGGTTCAAATCCCAGCCGAGGGCCTTTCTGGGTGGAGTTTGCACGTTCTCTCCATGCATGCGTGGGGTTTCCTTCCACAGACCACAGACCAAATGCATGTTAGGCTGATTGGTAATTCTCTCTAGATGTGAGTAAGAGAGTGAATAGTTGTGCCTCGATTGTCTCTATGTGTCCCTGCGATGGACTGGAGACCTGTCCAGGGTGTCCCCCACCTCTCGCACAGTGATAATTGGACATGGGCACCAGTAACCCCCACAACCAAAAAACGAAGAAGCGGGTAAAGATAATGAATGGATGGTTAAAACGATTGTTTTAAGGTCTCCGAACTTTTTACCGTAGCCCGGACAGAGCATGTGAAGGTGAACACGGGTGTGTTGGAGTGGGAGGAGTCAGGTACTTGGTGCCACAGGTTGATGATGTGGAAGACCGAGTCCTAAGTTTGGAGAAGATGAAGTTTCTCTCAATGAAAGCTGACCTGCAGGTCCACAGGTTAAATGACTCGCCAGCTCACACTAAGACAGGGGGGCAGGAGGGCCCTTCCTGCCCGATGAAAGGGTTTTGTTTCTAAAAAGAAATCCCCCGATTGGTTAATGGGGTCGTGACTGAGGCCAGCAGGGGGTAAAGCACTGGAGCCTGAAAAAAAGAAAGCTAAGTGTGAGTCTGTTAGTGTGCAACGTAAAACAAAGCTTTGTTCAGGTGGGTTTCACACAGGAGCAGCTACTGGGTGGATTTCTGTAAGAAGAGATCTACCTTCACCTGAGACGTGCCGAACTG